GAGACACCCACAGTGACACTCACTGAGACCCCCAGAGACACCCACAGAGACCCACAGAGACCCACAGAGACACCTGAAGGTCACTTCAACATGCACGCATGCATAGGTGCTTCTGCTGCTCGTAACAGCACTTGTCCCAAGGGTCTGCTGATGCTAGACGACCGATCTTATCTTGTAACGAGATGAGGGTTACATTTTGACTTAAAACTTTCGTGACTGCAAGAATTCATATTCTTTGGTTCTTTCGGTAAAGTCACGTAGAGAGAGAATTAATAATAAAAGAAAAATTAAGTGAATGAAAATAAGAAAAAAATATTTAAATTAAATTAAAACCTACAACGTTTCGATCGCAACGCAAGCGGTCTTCATCAAGAACAAGTAAACCCGTAAAAACAAAGTTTTTCACAACAAATCCTTTATATGCGTGGCGGCTAGAGTCCTCTCGTCCTCTGGCTTGAGATGGCTGCCACCTATGGGTCAGATGATTGTATGGCACTATTAAGCAATTGGTAATTAAATATAATATTTTTGTCCTAAAAAGTGTAAATGTTTTGGAAAAAATTTCACGAACATTAATTGTCTCGCACAACGAGTCTGTGTGCAAAATGTCAGCTCGATTGGATCACGGGAAGTGGGTTAAAAAACGACCGAAAGATTTGCACGGTCCTAAGCAAGCAAGCGAACTTAATATAAAGGATTTAAATAAATAAACCCGTAAAAACAAAGTGTTTCACTATAAATCCTTTATATGCGTGGCGGCTAGAGTCCTCTCGTCCTCTGGCTTGAGATGGCTGCCACCTATGGGTCAGATGATTGCCTGCCACAATTAAGCAATTGGTAATTAAATATTTTAAAAAATTTCCCTAAACAGTGTAAAATTTTGGAAACATTTTTTCACGAACATTAATTGTCTCGCACAACGAGTCTGTGTGCAAAATGTCAGCTCGATTGGATCACGGGAAGTGGGTTAAAAAACGACCAAAATGTTTGCACGGTCGTAAGCACGCAAGCGAGTGAACTTAATATAAAGGATTTAAAAAGGGGGGTTAGCTTCTAAAGGCAAACTGTTTATAAAGCTTTAGAGATGGTCGTAGCCCAAGTGTGTCAGCAGCATGAGCGGGGCAGCTTATGTTCACGTGAGAGAAAACCCCGACACCGGCAGTAGGTCTACACCAGGGGTCGGCAACCAAAATAACAAGAAGAGCCATTTCTTTACAATTCGGTACAAAATTCAGTATTTCAAGAGCCGCAATGCATCTGAGTACATACTGTACATATCGTCAAGAAGCAGCCCGTAAAGAGCCACATGCGGCTCCGGAGCCGTAGGTTGCCGACCCCTGGTCTACACCAATCAAAGGACCGCCAGGCAATCATTGCACCTCGCTCCACACACCCACACTGCTGACGGTAGAGGTTGACGAGAAAACACCAATCAAGTCATGACCCAAAGTGGTTCATGATATCTTTAAAATGATTGCTGAGTGTATAACCATCTTGAACTTGTATCTGTGTATGTATATGTAGGCCACGCGTTTGGTTGCGATGCGAGCATGCAGCGGACAGTGGGGGCAACTGAGGACATACAGTTGTTGCTGAGCCAATTAAGCGGTGAGGTCATTAAGAGACGCCACAGGTGTTAAGAGTAACTGAGGACGCAGGCCGGTAATTGATCGAGAGGGTAAGTGTCTGGGACTGGCGTCGGGGTGTCCACGAAAACAACATCACGTGACATCACGTGAGGCTGGGGGCCATGGGGGGCGAAGGGAGGAGCGGGGGATGACATAACTAATTGGGACTAATTGGTTCAGGGATAAAGGCAGAGCATAGAGGAGAGACGGGGGTCATTGTGAGTGTTGGAGTCGCAGTTGGAGTTGGCGTTGGAGTTGGTAAATGGACAAGAGTGTATAGTGTAGGGTAGCAGTGGATAAGAGAGTATAGTATAGGGTAGCAGTGGATAAGAGTGTATAGTATGAGGTAGCAGTGGACAAGAGTGTATAGTATAGGGTAGCAGTGGACAAGAGTGTATAGTATAGGGTAGCAGTGGATAAGAGAGTATAGTATAGGGTAGCAGTGAATAAGAGAGTACAGTATAGTATAGGGTAGCAGTGGACAAGAGTGTATAGTATAGGGTAGCAGTGAATAAGAGAGTACAGTATAGTATAGGGTAGCAGTGGATAAGAGTGTATAGTATAAGGTAGCAGTGGATAAAGAGAATGCAGTATACGGTAGCAGTGGACATAGAGAGTACGGACAGAGTAGCAAGGACGGAGCGAGTACAGCGTAGCGAGGCAGCGGAGACCTTGGTGGAGAGAAAGATAGCGAGCGAAGCAGCAGAGCTAGCGAACGGAGGGATATCGAGTGGGGCTGATGGAGAATTGTCCATTGTAGAGTATGGAGGAACATTGAACGATGCTGTTGGAGATGTCAACTATATGCGAGAAAGACAGTTGTCGCGTCAGTAAGAGTCCTACAGATATATGGATGGCTTAATGAACGAATGTTTGTTGATAGCCAGTAGGCTTGCAAAATACTATCATCTTATGGAAATCAATCATGTGAGCCAGCCGCATTAAAGCAATGATCAGCCACAGCAGAAGTATTGGTCCTGCCGTGTTTCAGATCTGCCTTATGATTATTTGGTTCTTTCGGTTAAGTCACGTCTAAAGATAAAATAATAAATTAAATTAAATAATAGCATACTATTATTTAATTTGTATGCTATTATTTAATTTAATTTATTATTTTATCTTTAGACGTGACTTAACCGAAAGAACCAAATAATCATTTACTGCAGTCACGAAAGTTCTAAAATTAAGATCTGCCTTATGCTCATGAACACGGTCCGAGACATGTCGCTTAGTTTCCCCAGTGTAACCGCTGCCGCAGATACAGCTTCGTTTATAGACGCCGGGGTATTGCATGTCAGGAATCTTGTCCTTTACTGATGGGATCAAATCATTAATGTTACGCACCGTGTTCAATCGGACTTGGATCTTGTGTCGTGTTCATGATTTTGAAAATCGTTTTGGTTACTCCTGCAATGTATGGCAAGGTGATGTTTTGGCGTCCATCTCAAATATTTCCATGAAAATATTGGCTACAACCGGAGATAAGGGAGAACCCATTGGGGTGCCTTCAGTCTGGTTGTAGAATATTCTTAGGTTTTTTCCGGTTAAGTCACGTAAGTAAAACATCAAAATAAAAATAAAAAAATCACGACGTTTCGGAGGCAACACAAGTCTCCGTCATCAGGTGGGACCGTCACAGCCGAATTAGCTGCATCAAGTGAAGCAATGATTCAAGATGTAATCCCTTATAAGCAAGTTGAAGGGAGGTGGAGAGGGGGGGTGGAGAGCTTATCAGACTGTGGTAGCCAATGAATGGAAACGTATCGGGAGGGAGGGTGAGCGGTGATCAAAGACTGCACGCAGTGCTCAACACAATGAATGGAAACGTATCGGGACGGAGGGTGAGCGATGATCAAAGACATCACGCAGTGCTCAACACAATGGTTGTAGAATGTTCCATTCCAGGTGACGTATGTGTTGGTGAGGTAGTGTCTCACCAGGGCCGGTACTTCAGCATTCAATCCTTGTTGGACCAAATCTTCAATTATTGCAATGGTATCAGACACAGGAACTTTGGTGAACAAAGAAATGACATCAAACTAACCTGGGGACAGTTTAGATGTCTTTAATTGACGATACCAGGTGAGCTGAGTTAAGTACAGAAGAGGTGGTCTTACCAGTGAATGGCTGCATGGTCCCAGACAGATATCGGTGGGATGAAGGAGTGTACCTTGTATCTTGATTTGAAGTATTCGTGACTGCAGGAATCCATATATTATTTCGTTCTTTTGGTGAAGTCACGTGGGTATAAAAAAATATAATAGTTCAAGACGTTTCGATCGCAACACAATCGACCGTCATCAGGTGTGAAACAAACACAGCAGGAGGACTGCTGACGTAGGAGAACGTGCTGCTGCAGCAAGAGTTTATATCGGATTATGGTGGGCCCAACCCAAGGGTAAGTGGGCGGAGCTAGAGAAGGCATTTTTACGTAAATGTGAGAGATTAGCATGTCAATGTGAGAGAGCCGGGCTACAAGAACAAAAACCCAAACACAAGAGGTATACACAGAGAGGGAAAAAAGTATTTGATCCCCTGCTGATGTTGTACGTTTGCCCACTGACAAAGAAATGATCAGTCTATAAATTTAATGGTAGGTTTATTTGAACAGTGAGAGACAGAATAACAACAGCAAAATCCAGAAAAACGCATGTCAAAAAATGTTACAGCAGCTCTTTCTTCTACGTCAGCAGTCCTCCTGCTGTGTCTGTTTCACACCTGATGACGGTTGCTTGTGTTGCGATCAAAACATCGTGATTATATTATATTGTTTCTACCTCCGTGACTTTACCAAAAGATCCAAAGAGTATGGGTGTACCTTCTTCATGGATTTTTGGTAAGCCATATAATCTGGGTGGTCTAGCAGCAGAAGGTTTCAAAAGAAACCGTTTGGTTTGTTCAATAAATAAAGCTGAATCAGCGATGATCCTGTTCTTTTTGTAACCAGGCTGTTGGTCGGATCTCTTTTAATTTTGTGTAGCTAATCATCATTTAGTAGGTCCTGAATTTCGTTATTGTACGCGGTTTTGTTCATGACGACCGTGTCATTGCCTTTTTCGGCTGAGAGGATGACGATGTGATCCCTCTTTTTAATCCTTTATATTAAGTTCACTTGCTTGCTTGCTGCGCTTACGACCGTGCAAATCTTTCGGTCGTTTTTTAACCCACTTCCCGTGATCCAATCGAGCTGACATTTTGCACACAGACTCGTTGTGCGTGACAATTTATCTTCGTGAAAAGTTTTTTCCCAAAATTTTCCACTTTTTAGGATTTTTTTTTTCATATTTAATTTAAAATACCAATGTGATAAAAATGAAACTCTTACTCAAGAAAAACAGAAATGAATAATGAAATAAAACCGATGCCACGCATATAAAGGATTTATAGTGAAAAACTTTGTTTTTACGGGTTAATTTTTTCAACTGAGATAACTCAAAATGCTCATCCTTACTGGTGTTGCTCACAGGCATCTTAGCGCTTTTGATGGTTGCAGCGATTTCAGATTTTGTCACGTCTGCAGCGATGTGTCGCAGACCCTTAAGGACTACACCGACCTGGGCAATGATGACATCCACTGGTATGTTTTTTGGGGGTGACTGCTAAGTCCATCCCTGTAGCCAAAACCGACTTTAGACCATGGGAAATTGGGCTATTACTCAGATTAATAACAACCTTGTCAACATTTAACTTTAAAATGTGTGGATCTGGTTACTTTTTGGAAAGGAGGTTGAACTTGGAAATCAGGTAATCTTTCCATTTAGCTGACATTGTAGCGGCTGATGAAGCGGTCATTTTATCTATCTGTTTCCAATCAGATGTAGACATTTGTTCCATCATTGTTAAGTGTGATTTCAAGAGTGTCTTGTCTACATGATCTAGTCCAGTACGGAGCAGTCTAATTCTCTCTGAGATCAGGGCCAAGCGAGCCCTGAACAAAATTCGTTTGGCATTGTAATATTTGATGGCAGCAGAAGTCAGTGTACAATGAGATCGGTATTACCTTAGAGTCGTGGCATCTCTTCAGAAATGTGAGTGACTCGATCAGATGAACTTTCTTGCCTCGGAGTTTGTTGAAAGATCTTATGGTTATGAAATGAGGGTTGTTTGGTAACCCCTCCACCTACCACGATTTATAGAGGACCCAGCGGGGTAAGATAGAGATGACTCTCTGATGCCCTCTGGCCAAACCGCGACTTGGCGTAGCCACAGTGAAAGCCTCCCTCCTCCTCAGGGATCCCCCAGGAACAGCGGGACCACCGCGGTTCAGCCGCGTGGAATATTCGGACTCTCGCCGCAGAGGAGAGGCTGCCGCTGCTCGGTCTGGAGGTGGATGGGTACCACATGGACCTTTGTGCAGTGCACGACGTCCGGTGGGTTGGTTCTGAGGTGTGTGAGGAGATGAGAGGCTGCCATTCGTCTGTCGGGAACTGGACCGGTAACCGTCTGGACCTGTGTGTAATACAGGAGGTGCAGTGAACAGAATCTACAGGAGAGGGAGAGAGACAGTGTGTCCTCTTGGCCACGTCCACCGCCGGTTACCGTTCCACCGCCCCTCACGAGAAGTCGGAGGCAGCTGCCCGACAAAGTCGAGGAGGAGGAGGAGGCAGCGGAGGCGAGGGGCAGCCGGTTCAGGGCGAAGGTCGGCGGAGGTTGGAGGTCGGCGCTGAGGCGGCGGCTGTCCAACTTGCGGAGACGAATGGGCGGTGCATCGTCATGCTGGTGAGAGACGTCGGTGCCAGGTGGACGAATGTGGGCGGGTGGGGTTTGAACGGGAGAGGAAGACGAAAGCTGAAATGAAGAAACGTCGTTGGTCCAGCGAGGCTCCCCTTATAGTTGGGTGGTGGTGGTGGTGGTGGTGATGGTTGAAGTGATGGTGGTGGGTGGTTGTGTTGATGGTTGACTGAGATGCTGTTGATGATGTTGATGGTGTTGAAAGACTCACAGAGACCCACAGAAAAACCCACACAGACTCACAAAGACCCACCGAGATACACAGAGACTCACAGAGACACCCACAGAGACACCCACAGAAACCCACAGAGACCCACCGAGATACACAGAGACACCCACAGAGACACCCACAGACACCCACAGATACACACACAGAGACACAAACAGAGACCCACAGAGACCCACAGAGACACACACAGAGACCCAAAGAGACCCACAGAGACACCCACAGAGACTCAAAGAGAGACCCACAGAGACACACAGAGACCCACACAGAGACAGATACAGAGACCCACAGACACGCACAGAGACCCACAGAGACACCCGAAGGTTAATCAACATGCACGCAATGCATTGGTGCCACTGCTCACGAATATCACTTTTCACAATGGTCTGTTGATGCTACATAACAGATCTTATCTTGTGTAATAAAGCACTTCCACAACAACTCTTGAATGGAGTCCATTTTATTAACGACTGCCCAACTCCACTCTCTCTCTCTCTGGATGGCTTACCTCTCTCTCTTCTGCCGTGACGTGCGCTCTCCCTCTTCCACCATCGCGGCGTGTCTCTCTCTCTCTTCCTCTACGCTCTTTCCGCTGGTCATCAGCGCGCTGGGAGGAGAGAAGCTTCGCTGGCAGAGCCCGTTACGTGGCCGGTGGCGAGACGAGGTAGGCGATGATGCAGTCCGGACTCCAGGCTCCCCACACCGACCCTGAGTCCTCCCACTGCCTCTCCTTATATTCCGGTCGGCGGAACTAAGCTCCGCCTCCAGCCACGTCCCCTCGTGGAACCTTCCCGAAGGTTCCCTACATGCCCACTAGCTCCGCCCGTTATCTTTGGCCCAGATGGAACCCTACCTTCTGATTGGATATGAGTCACCCAGCGGTGACTATGCCATTACCCCTCGTAGTCCCTTAGACGGCGCTCTCTGATTACACTTGTAACGAGACGATGGTTGTTTGGTAACCCCTCCACCTTCCACTATTTATGGAGGACCCAGCGGGTTACGAGAGAGAGGCGACTCTCTGATGCCCTCTGGCCAAACCACGACTTGGCGTAGCCGCAGGGAAAGTCTCTCCTCCTCCTCCTCGGGGTTCCCCAGGAACAGGGGGACCACCGCGGTTTGGCCGCGTGGAATATTCAGACTCTTGCCGCAGAGATTGTTGTGGTGGTGGTGATGGTTGTGTTTGTAGTGGATGAGCGATTCGGTGGGTGGTCGTGGTGGTTGTAGTGGTTGTGGTGGTTGTGGTGGTGGTTGTGGTGGTGGTTGTGATTGTTGTGGTGGTGGGTGGTTGTGGTGGTGGTGATGGTTGTGTTTGTAGTGGATGAGCGATTCGGTGGGTGGTCGTGGTGGTTGTAGTGGTTGTGGTGGTGGTTGTGGTGGTAATGATGATGGTTGTGATTGTTGTGGTGGTGGGTGGTTGTGGTGGTGGTTGTGGTGGTGGTTGTCATGGTTGTGGTGATGGTTGAGATTGTTGTGGTGGTGGTGATGGTTGTGTTTGTAGTGGATGGGTGGTTGGGTGGGTGGTTGTGGTGGTGATGGTTGAGATTGTTGTGGTGGTGGGTGGTTGTGGTGGTGGTTGTGGTGGTGGTTGACATGGTTGTGGTGATGGTTGGGATTGTTGTGGTGGTGGTGATGGTTGTGTTTGTAGTGGATGAGCGATTCGGTGGGTGGTTGTGGTGGTCGTGGTGGTTGTAGTGGTGGTGGTGGTGGTGGTGATGATGATGGTTGTGATTGTTGTGGTGGTGGGTGGTTGTGGTGGTGGTTGTGGTGGTGGTGGTTGTCATGGTTGTGGTGATGGTTGAGATTGTTGTGGTGGTGGTGATGGTTGTGTTTGTAGTGGATGGGTGGTTGGGTGGGTGGTTGTGGTGGTCGTGGTGGTTGTAGTGGTTGTGGTGGTTGTGGTGGTGGTTGTGGTAGTGATGATGGTTGTGATTGTTGTGGTGGTGGGTGGTTGTGGTGGTGGTTGTGGTGGTGGTTGACATGGTTGTGGTGATGGTTGGGATTGTTGTGGTGGTGGTGATGGTTGTGTTTGTAGTGGATGGGTGGTTGGGTGGGTGGTTGTGGTGGTGATGGTTGAGATTGTTGTGGTGGTGGTGATGGTTGTGTTTGTAGTGTATGAGCGATTCGGTGGGTGGTTGTGGTGGTCGTGGTGGTTGTAGTGGTTGTGGTGGTTGTGGTGGTGGTTGTGGTGGTGATGATGATGGTTGTGATTGTTGTGGTGGTGGGTGGTTGTGGTGGTGGTTGTGGTGGTGGTGGTTGTCATGGTTGTGGTGATGGTTGAGATTGTTGTGGTGGTGGTGATGGTTGTGTTTGTAGTGGATGGGTGGTTGGGTGGGTGGTTGTGGTGGTCGTGGTGGTTGTAGTGGTTGTGGTGGTTGTGGTGGTGGTTGTGGTAGTGATGATGGTTGTGATTGTTGTGGTGGTGGGTGGTTGTGGTGGTGGTTGTGGTGGTGGTTGACATGGTTGTGGTGATGGTTGGGATTGTTGTGGTGGTGGTGATGGTTGTGTTTGTAGTGGATGGGTGGTTGGGTGGGTGGTTGTGGTGGTCGTGGTGGTTGTAGTGGTTGTGGTGGTTGTGGTGGTGGTTGTGGTAGTGATGATGGTTGTGATTGTTGTGGTGGTGGGTGGTTGTGGTGGTGGTTGTGGTGGTGGTTGACATGGTTGTGGTGATGGTTGGGATTGTTGTGGTGGTGGTGATGGTTGTGTTTGTAGTGGATGGGTGGTTGGGTGGGTGGTTGTGGTGGTGATGGTTGAGATTGTTGTGGTGGTGGTGGTGATGGTTGTGTTTGTAGTGGATGAGCGATTCGGTGGGTGGTTGTGGTGGTCGTGGTGGTTGTAGTGGTTGTGGTGGTTGTGGTGGTGGTTGTGGTGGTGATGATGGTTGTGATTGTTGTGGTGGTGGGTGGTTGTGGTGGTGGTTGTGGTGGTGGTGGTTGTCATGGTTGTGGTGATGGTTGAGATTGTTGTGGTGGTGGTGATGGTTGTGTTTGTAGTGGATGGGTGGTTGGGTGGGTGGTTGTGGTGGTGATGGTTGAGATTGTTGTGGTGGTGGTGATGGTTGTGTTTGTAGTGGATGAGCGATTCGGTGGGTGGTTGTGGTGGTCGTGGTGGTTGTAGTGGTTGTGGTGGTTGTGGTGGTGGTTGTGGTGGTGATGATGGTTGTGATTGTTGTGGTGGTGGGTGGTTGTGGTGGTGGTTGTGGTGGTGGTGGTTGTCATGGTTGTGGTGATGGTTGAGATTGTTGTGGTGGTGGTGATGGTTGTGTTTGTAGTGGATGGGTGGTTGGGTGGGTGGTGGTGGTGGTGGTTGTCATGGTTGTGGTGATGGCTGCACAAAGTGGAAGGGGGGGGGATTACTTAGTCAAAGTGCATCATGCATTGGATGTCTTGATTTGCACTCAATTCTCTTAAGGCTTTTGCTTCACTGAAGTTAATATTTGTTTTTGGCAATTTGCATTTCTCATTAGTTAATATCTGCTACAAAAGATGTACTACCGAAGCTATCAACAGAAGGTGTGTACATGATTAACTGCCCGTGCGGTAAATGTTTTGTTGGGCAAACAGGACGAATGATCAGCACGAGACGAAAAGAACATCAGAGAATAATTGGTTCTTTACCCTTCTATCTGGCAACAAAACTGACACCTTTTTTTTGTGCGCCTTTTGGCGTCATCTGGTCCAACCCATGTGAGACTAGGCTCTAAGGAAAGCTGTCTCGGGTGTGGACCAATCAACTTCAAGGACCATGTGAGACTAGGCTCTAAGGAAAGCTGTCTCGGGTGAGGACCAATCAACTTCAAGGACCATGTGAGACTAGGCTCTAAGGAAAGCTGTCTCGGGTGTGGACCAATCAACTTCAAGGACCATGTGAGACTAGGCTCTAAGGAAAGCTGTCTCGGGTGAGGACCAATCAACTTCAAGGACCATGTGAGACTAGGCTCTAAGGAAAGCTGTCTCGGGTGAGGACCAATCAACTTCAAGGACCATGTGAGACTGGGCTCTAAGGAAAGCTGTCTCGGGTGAGGACCAATCAACTTCAAGGACCATGTGAGACTGGGCTCTAAGGAAAGCTGTCTCGGGTGTGGACCAATCAACTTCAAGGACAGTGCACATTAGCAGAGTTGTGTTTTTTTGTTTGTATTATGACTGCAGGTATTGCGGTCTATGCAAACATGACTCCTTGCAAAAAGGTGTCAGTTTTGTTGCCAGATAGAAGGGTAAAGAACCAATTATCATATTTTTACTGGCAAATGAGGTCCCCATAGTGTAGATAACATCAGAGAAATATTAAATTCTCCCAAATGCAACTGTCAGCATTCGCAGAAAACGCGTGCCAACAAGGACACTGCATTTAATTTGATAATGTTGAAGTGTTGTGCAAAACTAGCTACTACTGGCCAAGACTAATTAGAGAATCTATCGAAATTGAAAGAAGTAAAACATCATTTTAACCGCTCGAATAGCTACCGCCTTAGTGCAGCGTGGAAGTGAAACATCAAACAATACATTATTTAAATGCATGTCTATGAAGGGCATCATACTCCAATAAGGATTACCGTTGGTAGGGCTATTTTAATACACACAATAGACAGAAATGACAAGTTTAAAGGGCTCGCATAATGCACATGCATCATGTACGTTGCCTCAGTAATTCCCTTCCCCCCCACGTGGCGCAAGAGTGTAGAAGAGTGATCATTGGAAAGATGTGATGAACCGTGCAAAAAAGATTTAACTACACTTATTTGGCCAATCTTATTTGACAGACAACCATTACTGTTTTACCATGTTTAGTGGTGGTCTCCCTGTTACAGGTTGAGTCACAAACCGTACCTCTCCATAACAAAGGTTCAGCCTTTGTTATGCAGTCTATTCTTAGTCTCAAGCCTCACCTGACCATATGAATAACAAATATGCGGCCCTTGCCCCACCACCCTCTCCAACCATTATATAAACGGAGTGGTAGCTCCTGTAATCTCTCATTCACTTGATACAGCCGTCGTGGCTGTGACGGTTCCACCTGAAGACGGAAGCTTGTGTTGCCTCCGAAACGTCGTGATTTTAATTTTATTTTACGTTTTAATGTTTTTACCTACACGGTGACTTTACCGAAAAAACCTAAGAATATGTAGAAGAGTGGTCAACACATCTACGCCTGATGAAGCTAGTTGTAATTACTGGCGAAATGTCATACTCAGATTGTAAATGTTGTGCTTTGGTTCTACAACACACAGGTGCGCTGTACTAGTATATTACAGTATACACTACACCATACACTACACTATACACTACACTATACACTACACTATACACTACACTATACACTACACCATACACTACACTATACACTACACTATACACTACACTATACACTACACCATACACTACACTATACACTATACACTACACTATACACTACACCATACACTACTATATACACTACACTATACACTACACCATACACTACACTATACACTACACAATACACTACTATATACACTACACCATACACTACACTATACACTACACACTAGTGTTGTACTAGTGACGAATTGGCATCTTCTGTTTGCGTGACAACCCTTACAAGTTGGCTGTGTCGGCTGGTGGCGGGTTATAACGTCACATTTATATATTTACACAATCTAACTCGAAAAAAACTATATTATGGGAGGCCTGTGTGTGTGTGTGTGGAGATGAGAGGCTGCCATTCCTCTGTCGGGAGTTGGACCGGTCCCGTCTGGACCTGTGTGGAATACAGGAGGTGCGGTGACACAACGAAGGGGGACATCTACAATGAGTCCTTTCCATCGCAAAGCAGGATAAGTCGGAGGCCGTCGCCCGACGACGGTGATGGCAGCGACGAGGAGGCGGAGGCGGCAAGGCAGATGAGGTCTTTGGTGCTCAGGTGAGAGATGTCGGTACCAGGTTGGTGAATGTGGCCTGGGGGGGGCTGGGGGTGAACGGGAGAGGAAAACAAAAGCTGAAATGATGAAACGTCATTGGTACAGCGAGGCTCCTCCTTTTAGTTCTGTGGTTGTGGTGGTGGTTGGGTGGGTAGTTGTGGTTGGGTAGGTGGTTGTGGTCAGTAATGGCAGTGGTTGGGTGGTTGTAGTCGGTTGTGGTGGTGATGGTGGTGGCTGGATGGTTGTGGTGGTGGTGGTGGTGGTTGTATTGATGTTGGACAGTGATGCGGTTGATGACCCACAGAGACACCCACGGACACCCACAGAGACCCAAAACGACACCCACAGAAACCCACAGAGACACCGACAGAGACATCCACAGGGACACCCACAGAGACACACAGAGACACCGACAGAGACCCACAGAGACCCAAAAAAGAAACCCACAAAGACCCACAGAGACACCCACAGAGACCCACAGAGACACACACAGAGACACACAAAGAGACTCACCGAGACCCACAGAGACACCCACAAAAACCCACAGAGACACACAGAGACCCAAAAAGACACCCACAGAAACACCCACAGGCACTCCCACAGCGACCCACAGAGACCCCCACAGAAACCCAAAAAGACACCCATAAAGACCCACAGAGACACCGACAGAGACATCCACAGGGACGCCCACAGAGACCCACAGAGACCCAAAAAAGACACCCACAGAGACCCACAGAAACCCACAGAGACACCCCCAGAGACACACAGAGACTCACAGAGACACCCACAGAGACCCACAGAGACTCACATAGACACTCACAGAGACGCCCACAGAGACTCAAAGAGACCCACAGAGACACCGACAGAAACACACAGAGACCCATAGAGGCACACAGACACGTGAAGGTTACTTCAACATACACGCATGCATGGGGTGCCCGCTACTCGTTAGCATCACTTGTCCCACCGGTCTGTTAATGCTACACGACGGATCTTATCTTGTAACAAAATGAGGGTTGTTTGATAGGCATATGCAGGCACGCCAGAAGTTCCATCTGCCGCCGCCAATCGAGACGCTGCCAGGCGTGCTGCCCCCGGTGGCGGCCGGGAGGAGTGGTAGGCAGCCACCCAACCGCAGTGGCAGTGAAAGCGACGAGGCGGCCGGGGCAGTGGCGGATGGACAGAGGCCAGCGCTGGTTCAGTGGTACTCCCTGCCAATGCTATGGCGACCGCCCGGCTCTCCGCGCGGCGTCGATGGCGTCGGCGGCGCTCCGGCCGCTCCGCCCGCTCCACCGCCATCGAGAGGCGGTGCCAGGTGGGGGTGGGGGGGTGGTGTTGGGGGGTTAACGGGAGAGGGAGACACAAGCTGCAATGAAGTAACATCGTTGGTAGTGCGAGGCTCCCCTCGCACGAGGCCCACCCACAAACCAGAGGTTGCAAACGGGTTTTGATTTCTTACCCGTACCCGGCCGCACCAGGGTCGCAAACGGGTACCTGTACCCGTACCCGGCTGGGTACGGGTACAGGTAGCCGGCCGGGTACGGGTAGGGTACGGGTATCGGGTACCCGGTTGCGACCTCTGCCACAAACTCACTCACCCACTAACTCACCCACACACCCACTCGCTCAATCAGCCACCCACCCACACACCCATTCGCTCATCCACCCACTCATTTAACCACTAACCCTTCTACCTAATCACTCATTCACCCACCCTCTTTAAGAAGGGAGACCGCACAGACTGTAACAACTACAGGGGCATCTCACTCCTCAGTGTGCCGGGAAAAGTCCTGGCTAGGATTATTCAACATCGCCTTGCTAGGCACACTGAGGAGAAGCTTGCAAAGCCCCAATGCGGTTTCAGGAAAGGGCGGTCCTGCACAGATGCCATATTTTCCGTCCGTCTGCTTCAGCAGAGGTGTAGGGAATTTCAACAAGACCTACATCTCTGCTTTATTGACCTCGTCAAGGCCTATGATACCATCAGTAGGCCTGGGCTCTGGGTTGTTCTTCGTGCTTTCAGAGTCCCTGACCCTCTGTTCACGATGGAAGGCCGATCCATATTCTGGTGCAGTCAAGGGATGGCTCCCTATTACTCAACCATGTTATGTATGTCGATGATTTGGTAATTTCTGCTCACTCAGAGGATGGAGTTGGAGACGCTGCTGCTGAGACTGGAGCGTGCCACCAAGAGATGGGGCCTTACCATCAGCCCCAACAAAACTAAGCACTTGCCTTGGTATTTTGTACCATCGGACACTCCACCCCCACAACTCCCAATTGGTGATAGGGCAGTTGTGGAGAGATGGGAGAGTTTCCCATACCTGGGAAATGTGCTCAAAACCCGCTCCGGTTTAACAGCAGAGGTCTCACAACTGAATCAGTTGAGCGGCATTATTTTTTCATCGGTTGCGTAACGCTGTGTGGAAGCTACCTGGTCTGTCGCTCCGCACGAAGCTTCAGGTCTTCTCGGCCACGGTCATTCCCTCCCTTCTCTACGCTTGCGAAACGTGGACCCCCCTAGTGGAACATCTTCGCCAGTTGGAAACATTTAGGCTGGCCTGCCTACGATCCATCCTGGGTTTAACCAGGCTGGATTGTGAGAGGAGCTCACAAATCCTTGAAAAATCTGACAAAGTCCCAACGTTGAGCTCATATGGCAGGCACGGCTGCGTTGGCTGGGCCATGTAGCCCGCATGCCCAGTCACCGCATGACTCAACAGCTTTTGTTCAGCCGGATAGAGGGGGCTAAATGGATGCGGCACGGGCTAGAGAAGAGATGTAGTGATGTGGTACAGGAAAATGGGGAGCTGAGTGAAATTGCCGATGACTGGTACCAGCTGTGTCAATATCGACCTCTGTGGAGGAGGCTCGTGAAGGACGCTACTGGGCAGTTGGAGGCAGTCGTTCTCCAAGAACAACGGAGGTGGGAGGAGCGACGCTCACAACAACAAGCGCAGCGCCGGTTGGCTAAAGCACAGCAAGTTGTTACAGTAGGGGGCACAGGTGGTGCATCAGCCAGTCATCTCAGTCAGTCGACCAGTGGCACCTGCTGGGTCTGCCCCGTGACCTCCTGCCAGCGGGTGTTCGACACTTCACGTGGGCTCAACGTGCACATAGCCTGGCACAAGTGTCGTGGTGATGTCACCGCCACGTAGTGGTGAATGGCGCGGGTATTAGTATTGGTTGGTGTCTGTGTGTAAGGGGTACAGCTGGTGGTGCATCGGCCACTCATCTCAGTCAGTCGACCCGTGGCACCTGATCAGTCTGTCCCAATACCTCCTGCACCTAGCCTGGCACAGTAGAGTGTACGGCTGGTTGTGCATCTACCAGTCATCTGAATCAGCCAACCCATGGCATCTGCTGGGTCTGTCCTGATGCCTCCTGCACCTAGCCTGGCACAGTAGGGGGTACAGCTGGTGGTGCATCTACCGGTCATCTCAGTCAGCCAACCCATGGCACCTGCTTGGTCTGTCCCGAGACCTCCTGTCAGCAGCGAGCCTTCGACACTTCACGTGGTCTCAAAGTGCACCTGGCCTGGCACAGACGTCTCGGTGATGTCACCGTCACTTAGTGGTGAATTTGCGCGGGTGTTGGTATTGGTGCGTGCAGGTGCATGAGCAGGGTTCAAATATGTTCTGCCATGAGCTAAATGCCCAGTGGAGAAATTGGTGACGTGATTGCAGCCGAATGGGGAGCGGTGGTGTAGTAGTGGTTAGCGCTACAAACTCCGCGCCGAAACCCGATTTCGATTACCACCCACAGTCCTGCGCATCCCCTAGGTCGACTCGGCCTCAAATTAGTACATTGTGTAGCGGCGCTGGTGTAGTAAACATCGCCACTGGGGAGGCAAAGGCGGCCAGGCGAAGCACCGGTCACCCAGCAGTCTGTTAGGGCCTCACGGTGGGTGATCTTTGTCCTTGTTTGCAGGGCTCAACTCAGCTCTGACGAGAAGCAGATGCCACCGGAGAAACTGGAGCCTCTCATACCCAGCGCTGTTCCACACGGACCCCCTGGACACACGGACAATTACCCTGCTCAGAGAACTCGTAGCAATGTGGACCCATCCATATTCCAACGGGAGAACGTGAAGTCCTTGCTTGACGTTGCGTGTGTATGTTGCACGTGTATGTCACGTGTCTGTTGAACTTCTATTGAGAGATAAAGTGATGAGAGATAAAGTGATGAGAGATAAAGTGGTGAGAGATGAAGTGATGAGAGATGAAGTGATGAGAGATGAAGTGATGAGAGATAAAGTGGTGAGAGATAAAGTGATGAGAGATAAAGTGATGAGAGATAAAGTGGTGAGAGATGAAGTGATGAGAGATGAAGTGATGAGAGATAAAGTGATGAGAGATGAAGTGATGAGAGATGAAGTGGTGAGAGATAAAGTGGTGAGAGATAAAGTGGTGAGAGATGAAGTGATGAGAGATAAAGTGATGAGAGATAAAGTGATGAGAGATGAAGTGATGAGAGATAAAGTGGTGAGAGATAAAGTGGTGAGAGATGAAGTGATGAGAGATAAAGTGATGAGAGATGAAGTGATGAGAGATGAAGTGATGAGAGATAAAGTGGTGAGAGATAAAGTGGTGAGAGATGAAGTGATGAGAGATGAAGTGATGAGAGATGAAGTGATGAGAGATGAAGTGATGAGAGATGAAGTGATGAGAGATGAAGTGATGAGAGATGAAGTGACGAGAGATGAAGTGACGAGAGATGAAGTGACGAGAGATGAAGTGATGAGAGATAAAGTGGTGAGAGATGAAGTGACGAGAGATGAAGTGATGAGAGATGAAGTGATGAGAGATGAAGTGATGAGAGATGAAGTGATGAGAGATGAAGTGATGAGAGATAAAGTGATGAGAGATGAAGTGATGAGAGATAAAGTGATGAGAGATGAAGTGATGAGAGATGAAGTGATGAGAGATAAAGTGATGAGAGATAAAGTGATGAGAGATGAAGTGATGAGAGATAATGTGATGAGAGATGAAGTGATGAGAGATGAAGTGATGAGAGATGAAGTGATGAGAGATGAAGTGATGGGAGATGAAGTGATGAGAGATGAAGTGATGAGAGATAAAGTGGTGAGAGATGAAGTGATGAGAGATAAAGTGATGAGAGATGAAGTGATGAGAGATGAAGTGACGAGAGATGAAGTGATGAGAGATGAAGTGATGAGAGATAAAGTGATGAGAGATGAAGTGATGAGAGATAAAGTGATGAGAGATGAAGTGACGAGAGATGAAGTGATGAGAGATAAAGTGATGAGAGATAAAGTGATGAGAGATAATGTGATGAGAGATGAAGTGATGAGAGATAAAGTGGTGAGAGATGAAGTGATGAGAGATAAAGTGACGAGAGATAAAGTGATGAGAGATAAAGTGGTGAGAGATTAAGTGATGAGAGATAAAGTGACGAGAGATAAAGTGATGAGAGATAAAGTGATGAGAGATAAAGTGATGAGAGATGAAGTGGTGAGAGATGAAGTGATGAGAGATGAAGTGATGAGAGATGAAGTGATGAGAGATGAAGTGATGAGAGATAAAGTGATGAGAGATAAAGTGACGAGAGATGAAGTGATGAGAGATAAAGTGATGAGAGATAAAGTGATGAGAGATGAAGTGATGAGAGATGAAGTGATGAGAGATGAAGTGATGAGAGATGAAGTGATGAGAGATGAAGTGATGAGAGATGAAGTGATGAGAGATGAAGTGATGAGAGATGAAGTGATGAGAGATGAAGTGATGAGAGATGAAGTGATGAGAGATGAAGTGATGAGAGATGAAGTGATGAGAGATGAAGTGATGAGAGATGAAGTGATGAGAGATAAAGTGATGAGAGATAAAGTGATGAGAGATGAAGTGACGAGAGATAAAGTGATGAGAGATGAAGTGATGAGAGATGAAGTGATGAGAGATAAAGTGATGAGAGATGAAGTGATGAGAGATAAAGTGATGAGAGATAAAGTGGTGAGAGATGAAGTGATGAGAGATAAAGTGATGAGAGATAAAGTGATGAGAGATAAAGTGATGAGAGATGAAGTGACGAGAGATAAAGTGATGAGAGATGAAGTGATGAGAGATGAAGTGATGAGAGATGAAGTGATGAGAGATAAAGTGATGAGAGATGAAGTGATGAGAGATGAAGTGATGAGAGATGAAGTGATGAGAGATGAAGTGATGAGAGATGAAGTGATGAGAGATGAAGTGATGAGAGATGAAGTGATGAGAGATGAAGTGACGAGAGATAAAGTGGTGAGAGATGAAGTGATGAGAGATGAAGTGATGAGAGATGAAGTGATGAGAGATGAAGTGATGAGAGATAAAGTGGTGAGAGATGAAGTGATGAGAGATGAAGTGATGAGAGATAAAGTGATGAGAGATGAAGTGACGAGAGATAAAGTGATGAGAGATAAAGTGATGAGAGATAAAGTGATGAGAGATAAAGTGATGAGAGATAAAGTGGTGAGAGATGAAGTGATGAGAGATAAAGTGATGAGAGATAAAGTGATGAGAGATGAAGTGGTGAGAGATGAAGTGATGAGAGATGAAGTGATGAGAGATGAAGTGGTGAGAGATGAAGTGATGAGAGATGAAGTGATGAGAGATGAAGTGATGAGAGATGAAGTGATGAGAGATGAAGTGATGAGAGATGAAGTGATGAGAGATGAAGTGATGAGAGATGAGTGAGGAGAGATAAAGTGATGAGAGATGAAGTGATGAGAGATAAAGTGATGAGAGATGAAGTGATGAGAGATGAAGTGACGAGAGATAAAGTGACGAGAGATGAAGTGATGAGAGATAAAGTGATGAGAGATGAAGTGATGAGAGATGAAGTGATGAGAGATGAAGTGATGAGAGATAAAGTGATGAGAGATAAAGTGATGAGAGATAAAGTGGTGAGAGATGAAGTGATGAGAGATGAAGTGGTGAGAGATGAAGTGACGAGAGATAAAGTGATGAGAGATGAAGTGATGAGAGATAATGTGATGAGAGATAATGTGATGAGAGATGAAGTGATGAGAGATAAAGTGATGAGAGATAAAGTGATGAGAGATGAAGTGATGAGAGATAAAGTGATGAGAGATAAAGTGGTGAGAGATAAGTGATGAGAGATGAAAGTGATGAGAGATGAAGTGATGAGAGATAAGTGATGAGAGATAAAGTGGTGAGAGATAAAGTGATGAGAGATGAAGTGATGAGAGATGAAGTGATGAGAGATGAAGTGATGAGAGATGAAGTGATGAGAGATGAAGTGATGAGAGATAAAGTGATGAGAGATGAAGTGATGAGAGATAAAGTGGTGAGAGATAAAGTGATGAGAGATAAAGTGATGAGAGATAAAGTGGTGAGAGATGAAGTGATGAGAGATGAAGTGATGAGAGATGAAGTGACGAGAGATGAAGTGATGAGAGATGAAGTGATGAGAGATGAAGGAGGATGAAGTGATGAGAGATGAAGTGACGAGAGATGAAGTGATGAGAGATAAGTGATGAGAGATAAAGTGATGAGAGATAAGTGGTGAGAGATAAAGTGATGAGAGATGAAGTGATGAGAGATGAAGTGATGAGAGATGAAGTGATGAGAGATGAAGTGATGAGAGATGAAGTGATGAGAGATGAAAGTGATGAGAGATAAAGTGGTGAGAGATAAAGTGATGAGAGATGAAGTGATGAGAGATGAAGTGATGAGAGATGAAGTGATGAAGAGATAAGTGGTGAGAGATAAAGTGATGAGAGATAAAGTGATGAGAGATGAAGTGATGAGAGATGAAGTGATGAGAGATGAAGTGATGAGAGATGAAGTGATGAGAGATAAAGTGGTGAGAGATGAAGTGATGAGAGATAAAGTGGTGAGAGATAAAGTGGTGAGAGATGAAGTGATGAGAGATGAAGTGATGAGAGATGAAGTGATGAGAGATAAAGTGGTGAGAGATAAAGTGGTGAGAGATGAAGTGATGAGAGATAAAGTGATGAGAGATAAAGTGATGAGAGATGAAGTGAGAGAGATAAGTGATGAGAGATACAGTGATGAGAGATGAAGTGATGAGAGATAAAGTGGTGAGAGATAAAGTGTGAGAGATGAAGTGATGAGAGATGAAGTGATGAGAGATAAGTGATGAGAGATGAAGTGACGAGAGATGAAGTGATGAGAGATGAAGTGACGAGAGATAAAGTGATGAGAGATAAAGTGGAGAGATAAGTGATGAGAGGATGAAGTGATGAGAGATGAAGTGAGAGTGATGAGAGTGATGAGAGATAAAGTGATGAGAGATGAAGTGATGAGAGATGAAGTGATGAGAGATGAAGTGATGAGAGATGAAGTGATGAGAGATAAAGTGATGAGAGAGAAGTGATGAGAGATGAAGTGATGAGAGATGAAGTGATGAGAGATGAAGTGATGAGAGATGAAGTGAGAGAGTAAAGTGATGAGAGATGAAGTGATGAGAGATAAGTGATGAGAGAGTGATGAGAGTGAAGGATGAGAGATAAAGTGATGAGAGATAAAGTGATGAGAGATGAAGTGATGAGAGATAAGTGATGAGAGATGAAGTGATGAGAGATGAAGTGATGAGAGATGAAGTGATGAGAGATGAAGTGATGAGAGATGAAGTGATGAGAGATGAAGTGATGATGAGATTAAGGAAGTGAGTGATGAGAGATTGAAGCTGATGAGAGATAAAGTGGTGGAGAGGGAGGAGATAAAGTGGTGAGAGATGAAGTGATGAGAGATGAAGTGATGAGAGATAAGTGGTGAGAGATAAAGTGATGAGAGATGAAGTGATGAGAGATGAAGTGATGAGAGATGAAGTGATGAGAGATGAAGTGAGGAGAGATGAAGTGATGAGAGATGAAGTGATGAGGAGATGAAGTGATGAGAGATGGAGTGATGAGAGATGAATTGAGAGAGATAGAAGTGATTGAGAGATAAAGTGATGAGAGATAAAGTGATGAGAGATAAAGTGATGAGAGATAAAGTGATGAGAGATGAAGTGATGAGAGATGAAGTGATGAGAGATAAAGTGATGAGAGATAAAGTGATGAGAGATAAGTGATGAGAGATAGATAACAGTGGTTGAGAGTAAAGTGATGAGAGATAAAGGATGAGAGATGAAGTGTGAGAGATAAAGTGATGAGAGATGAAGTGATGAGAGATAAGAGTACGAGAGAAGTGATGAGAGATGAAGTGACGAGAGATGAAGTGATGAGAGATGAAGTGATGAGGAGATTGAGAGATGAAGTGATTGAGAGATGAAGTTATGAGAGATGAATGAAGTGTGAGAGATGAAGTGATGAGAGGATTTAAAGTGATGAGAGATAAAGTGATGAGAGATGAAGTGACGAGAGATGAAGTGATGGAGAGATGAAGTGATGAGCAGATGAAGTGATGAGAGATGAAGTGATGAGAGATAAAGTGATGAGAGATGAAGTGATGAGAGATAAGTGATGAGAGATGAAGTGATGAGTAGATAAAGTGACGAGAGATGAAGTGACGAGAGATGAAGTGCTGAGAGATGAAGTGCGAGAGATGAAGTGATGAGAGGATGAAGTGATGAGAGATGAAGTGATGAGAGATGAAGTCTGAGAGATGAATGATGAGAGATAAGTTGATGAGAGATTAAAGTGATGAGAGATAAAGTGGTGAGAGATTTAAAGTGATGAGAGATAAAGTGATGAGAGATGAAGTGATGAGAGATTGAAGTGATGAGAGTGAACGTGATGATGAGATGAAGGATGAGAGATGAAAGTGATGAGAGATGAAGTGATGAGAGATGAAGTGATGAGAGATGAAGTGATGAGAGATGAAGAGTGATGAGAGATGAAGTGATGAGAGATGAAGTGATGAGAGATAAGTGGTGAGAGATGAAGTGATGAGAGATAAAGTGATGAGAGATGAAATGATTGAGAGATAAAGTGTGAGAGATAAAGTGGTGAGAGATAAGTGATAGGTGATGAGAGATAAAGTGGTGAGAGATGAAAGCTGATGAGAGATAAGTGATGAGAGATGAAGTGAGTGAGAGATGAAGTGATGAGAGATAAAGTGACGAGAGATGAAGTGGTGAGATATGAAGTGATGAGAGATGAAGTGATGAGAGATAAGTGATGAGAGATGAAGTGATGAGAGATGAAGTGATAGAGAGATGAAGTGATGAGAGATGATTGAGAAGATGAAGTGATGAGAGATGAAGTGATGAGAGATAAGTATGAGAGAGAAGTGATGAGATTGAAGTGATGAGGAGATAAAGTGGTGAGAGATGAAGTGATGAGAGATAGAAGTGATGAGAGATAAAGTGATGAGAGATGAAGTGATGAGAGATGAAGTGATGAGAGATGAAGTGACGAGAGATGAAGTGATGAGAGATAAAGTGGTGAGAGATGAAGTGATGAGAGATAAAGTGACGAGAGATAAAGTGATGAGAGATAAAGTGGTGAGAGATTAAGTGATGAGAGATAAAGTGACGAGAGATAAGTGATGAGAGATAAAGTGATGAGAGATGAAGTGATGAGAGATAAAGTGATGAGAGATAAAGTGATGAGAGATGAAGTGATGAGAGATGAAGTGATGAGAGATGAAGTGATGAGAGATGAAGTGATGAGAGATGAAGTGATGAGAGATAAAGTGATGAGAGATAAAGTGGTGAGAGATAAAGTGGTGAGAGATAAAGTGGTGAGAGATGAAGTGATGAGAGATGAAGTGATGAGAGATGAAGTGATGAGAGATGAAGTGATGAGAGATGAAGTGATGAGAGATGAAGTGATGAGAGATAAAGTGATGAGAGATAAGTGATGAGAGATGAAGTGATGAGAGATGAAGTGATGAGAGATGAAGTGATAGAGAGATGAAGTGATGAGAGATAAAGTGGTGAGAGATGACAGTGATGAGAGATGAAGTGATGAGAGATGAAGTGATGAGAGATAAAGTGATGAGAGATAAAGTGGTGAGAGATAACGTGATGAGAGATAAAGTGATGAGAGATAAAGTGATGAGAGATAAAGTGATGAGAGATGAAGTGATGAGAGATGAAGTGATGAGAGATGAAGTGATGAGAGATGAAGTGATGAGAGATGAAGTGACGAGAGATGAAGTGATGAGAGATGAAGTGATGAGAGATAAAGTGGTGAGAGATAAAGTGATGAGAGATGAAGTGATGAGAGATAAAGTGGTGAGAGATAAAGTGATGAGAGATGAAGTGATGAGAGATGAAGTGATGAGAGATGAAGTGACGAGAGATGAAGTGATGAGAGATGAAGTGATGAAGAGATGAAGTGATGAGAGATGAAGTGATGAGAGATGAAGTGAATGAGAGATAAGTGATGAGTAGATGAGAGATGAAGTGATGAGAGATGAAGTGATGAGAGATGAAGTGATGAGAGATGAAGTGATGAGAGATGAAGTGATGAGAGATGAAGTGATGAGAGATGAAGTGATGAGAGATGAAGTGATGAGAGATGAAGTGATGAGAGATGAAGTGATGAGAGATAAAGTGGTGAGAGATGAAGTGATGAGAGATAAAGTGGTGAGAGATGAAGTGATGAGAGATAAAGTGATGAGAGATAAAGTGATGAGAGATAAAGTGATGAGAGATGAAGTGATGAGAGATAAAGTGATGAGAGATAAAGTGATGAGAGATAATGTGATGAGAGATGAAGTGATGAGAGATGATGTGATGAGAGATAAAGTGATGAGAGATGAAGTGATGAGAGATGAAGTGATGAGAGATAATGTGATGAGAGATAAAGTGATGAGAGATGAAGTGATGAGAGATGAAGTGATGAGAGAAAGTGTGTATACTGTAGTAGTGTATAGTAGTGTAGTGTATAGTAGTGCAGTGTACAGTGCTGTATAGTAGTTTAGTGTATAGTGTGTAGTAGTGTATAGTAGTATATAGTGTATAGTAGTGTATAGTAGTGTATAGTGTATAGTAGTGTATAGTAGTGCAGTGTACAGTAGTTTAGTGTATAGTGTGTATAGTAGTGTAGTGTATAGTAGTGTATAGTGCGTAGTAGTGTAGTGTATCGTAGTGTAGTGTATATTGTATAGTAGTGCAGTGTATAGTAGTGCAGTGTACAGTGCTGTATAGTAGTTTAGTGTATAGTGTGTAGTAGTGTAGTGTATAGTAGTATATAGGAATGTAGAGCTTGAGTCTGTCTGCAGCGTAAGGGAAGTCTGGACCGCCCTACTCTACATGCTACTGCTGTGACCCTCACCAGGACTAGCGGATTGAGACACAAACTAATGGACGCATTTCCTTGCTGTCACTGTGCACTCCCTCTCACCGTCGCCTTTCGTAGACTTCTCCAAGCGAAGAATCGAGCGCGACTGCGCATGACGGCGTCGTCACGGCGATGCCGGACTGCGCCGTCACCGCAGTGATGCCAGATTTCTCCGGCGACGCCTACTCGTGAGCGCACAAAAAACCCTCGTGCAACCTCGTGCCGGGATGTGGGTGGGTGGGTGGGTGGGCGTGGTCGGTTTGGTCACAATGATTTACTTGTGACGCGGTAAGGTCTCAGAGTGCTCGGATCCCGCTGGGTACGCAAACCGCCCTGATTTACGCTGGCACCTTGCGACTCGTACTTTCGCTCCACTCACGGCAGAGGTCGCAAACGGGTTTTGATTCCTTACCCGTACCCGTACCCGGCCACACCAGGGTCGCAAACGGCTACCCGTACCCTACCCGATATCCGGCTACCCGTACCCGTACCCTACCCGTACCCGGCCGGGTATCGGGTAGGGTACGGGTATCGGGTACCTGATTGCGACCTCTGGGATGAAGCCATGTTGTAGGCGCGGGTGGGTTGATTCTAGGAACTTGAATTGTGAGAAGAGACAAGACGTTGGGAAATGAGTGACAAACGGTGACTCACCAGTGACTCACGGCCTACCCGTACCCGTACGCGGCCGCACCAGGGTCGCAAACAGGTACCCGTACCCGTACTCATACGGGTAGCCGGGTATCGGGTAGGGTACGGGTATCGGGTACCCGGTTGGGTCCTATGACTCACGGGGGGCGCGGATGCGGAGAGTAAAAAAACACCGCCTCAACCATCACATTGACGTGGATTTGAGGGTGTAACTCTACCAGCCAGTGCTAGAAACGAGTCCCAAATAAAATACCTCTAGCGTTCTAATATAGACCTTGACTTAAAGCTTTCATGACTACCGCAGGAATTGGTATTGTTTGGGCCTTTCGGTAAAGTCACGTAGATGAGGTTCAAATTAATAAAAATAAAATGAACAAAAAACTACGACGTTTCGATCGCAACACAAGCGGCCGTCATCAGGTGGGACAACCACAGCAAGACAAAATTGCTGAAGTGGGCAAGAGATCCGCTGTGGAACTTGTCCTTCCTGTCTTAAAATAGGTAGGTGGGTGGGGGGGTGGGTGGGTGTAGGTGGGTGTTTGTGGGTGGGGGGGTAGGTGGGTGGGGGGGTGGGTGGGTGTAGGTGGGTGTTTGTGGGTGGGGGGGTGTTTGTGAGGGTGGGGGTTTGTGTTTGTGGGTGGGGGTGAGGTTTGGTGGGGGGGTGTTTGTGGGTGGGGGGGTGTTTGTGGGGGTGGGGGTTTGTGTTTGTGGTGGGTGGGGGTGTTTGTGGGTGGGGGTGAGGTTTGGTGGGGGGGTGTTTGAGGGTGGGGGGGTGTTTGTGTTTGTGGGTGGGGGCTGTTTGTGGGTGGATTACCAACGGTAATCTAGCAGTATAGTAATATAATAGTATATTGTAATACAGTAGTGTATTGTAATATAGTGCTGTATTGTAAAAAATTAGTACGTACTAATGTTGTAAGAAATAGTAGTATATAGTAGTGCATCTATACATTTAATATTCACTCGTATAGCTAAAACCCAACTTATGATCGCCCAGCAGAACACGTAGCCCACTAAGTGGACAGCAGAGCCTCAGCCAATCAGACGTCAATAAAACTTAACACGTGTCAGGCTTGCGCGACCAATACCATCCATAACTAGTGTGGGTTGTCACGTAAACAGAACATGCCAATTCGTCACTAAATGCATGCCTACAAAGGGCAGGATACTTCAAGGGGGGTTACCGTTGGTAGGGCTATTTTAATACACACAATAGACATGAATGACAAGTTAAAAAGGCTCGCATAATGCACATGCATCATGTACGTTGCCTCAGTAATTCCCCCCCCCCCCCCCCCCCACGTGGCGCTAAAGAGCAGAAGCGTGCTCAACACATCTACGCCTGATGAAGATAGTTATATTTACTGGTGAAACGTCGTACTCAGATTGTAAATAATGTGTCTTGGTTCTCCAACACATAGGTGTGCTGTACTAGTATACTACACTATACACTACATTACTTGACACTACACTACACACACTACACTATACACTACACTATATACTACTATACTCTACACTACTATACACTAAACTATACACACTACACTATACACTGCACATGATACACTACACACTATACACTACACATTAATGCTGTACTAGTAACGAATTGGCCACGTTCTGTTTACGTGACAACCCTTACTAGTTGGCTGTGTCGGGTGGTGGCGGGTTTCAACGACACATTTACATATTTATGTGATCTAACCCAAAAAAACCTCTATTATGGATCAATCAAACTCCACCCACTAAGTAGATAGCAGAGACACAGCCACTCAGACGTCAACCCAATAAGTGGCCAGCTACACTAAACACTACACTATACACTAAACACTACACTATACACTAAACACTACACTATACACTAAACACTACACTATACACTGCACGATACACTAAACACTACACTATACACTAAACACTACACTATACACTGCACGATACACTAAACACTACACTATACACTAAACACTAAACTATACAATACACTATACACTAAACACT